GGGCGTGGCATGCTATAGGCAGGCGCTGCTGCATGCGACGACCGAGCAGATAAATTAATGCGATTTTTCATGCTACATGTTTGAGTTTGATTTATGCAATTATAGCTCTCACTCTCAGGCTCATTCTACGTCTCTCTCTCTCGAGATTTCTCTCTCTCTCTCTCTCTCTCTCTCTTTATGCCTTCTTTCTGCTCTGATATACAGCTTTTGTCAAACATGTCTAAGAGCAGTCATTTTTTATATTTTGATATAAAGCGGAAATGCTTACCATGTTTCCGGTTTGTTACCTACACGCAGACACGCACACACACACGCACACACACACAATTATAGTAAATCCAGCTATTTAGCTGTTGAGCTTGAAATACTCTACCCCAAAATACAAACGGCAGCTGCCAGACGACATCTATTATGCAGCAGTGGCTCAACTAACTGCAGTTGGCACTGCCATACGACTATTTGTTAAAGTCAGCTAACAAAATAAATACCAAAATATAAGTATACGAAATGGTTTTTCTTAAGGAATTTTTGTGGGATTTATAGAAGAAATATTTGAGCAATTGTTTAAAAGATTGTAATTAATAAGTTTAGCTGAAATAGTAAAGGGAAATAATTTGTTTGTATACTAATTACTAGTATATTTAACTCTCTGATTTCATAAAGAAATTAAAATAAAATTTTAAATAAATTCGGAAAATATTCTAACACATTCTAGAATATATATTAGTATATACCAACATATCGTTTGAAAAATTATTAAACTATATACATATATAAATATATTTAGTTGCTCTTGAACAAGTTTATAAAACTATAAAGTAAAATATTTTTATTATAAAAAAATGATTTTGTTTTGATATGGGATTATATGTGTAGCTAAATGTATAATAAAATCTAGGTAAAACCAAATCTTATATGTGATCAATATTATGTGAGTATTTTGATTTTGTTACCTCAAATCTCTTCTTATATTTACTTTTCAATCAATTATTTTTTTCATATTTTCATCTAGTTACTTTCAATTAGTTTAAGCCTTTTGCCACTCGTATTATGCCACTTGAGATCGACAAGCTTTCGATTTTAATTGCCTGTTCGCTTGGGCAACAGAGCCATCGAGTTCCCCAGGGAAGAGTATTGAATGCCCAGCAGCTGGCTGGCGCAGCAGCAACAAGAGGATCAATATGGAGCGGTAAGACTCAACTTGAATTGGCAGCCACGTTAATTTGTCATGGCATTTGGCTGTGGTCAGCACACACAGACACACACACACACATACACACAGGCACACCCATCATACTATATAGCATATTACACAACAAGTGATTCTCTTTTTTGCTCGCCCAGTGCTCAAATCAGAGTCGTTGTATGCGTGCTCGTACCTGTAATCTGGACAACAAATCCGATTAAATGCAAATGCTGATGTATGTGTGTGTGTGTGTGTGTGTGTGTGTGTGTGTGTGTGGCAGCAAGTGGCATGCAGCTTAGTTGCGTAAGTTATCAGCAACGGTATTGAAGACCAAAGCAGCAGCAGCAGCAGCAGGAGCAGCAGCAACTGAAGCAGCATTAGCATCAGCGGTTGCTTTGCAGCATCTAATTTGAAGATGACACCTGGGCAGGTGTGTGTGTGTGGCAACTGCAGCAATGCGCATTTGGCGGCTTCTAATTATTATTTCAATAGCTAAGCTCCGGGCACTCTGCATTTGCATGGGGCTTGCCATGAAGGCACTCATATGCTCCGGCTGCCAATAGATAAGCAGCATGGCTTAAATTTCCCCGGCCCGAATAGCTGCTAGAAAAACTCAGTTTGGCCATTAACGCAAAGAACGTGAATTAAAAAGGTGTGGAAAATGAAAGCGAAAACGAAAAACTGTGGAGGTAAGAGAAATGTGAAATGCTCTATTAAAGAAGCTTAAAGTAAGCCAAGTATTACCGTTAAAGCAGATATCGTCTATAGACCTTTCAGTTATAGATAAGGCATTTCCCATTGCCAGAAACTGTTATTGAAACTTTACATATTCCACCATTAGATTTTAGTACATACAACGCTTAGTCTTAGACTAAGCGTTACACATTCGCTAAACCTATTCGAATGCTCGACTCGTAGGGTATGTATAAAACTGGGAAATGACAGCCAATTGCTATGCCAATTCCTCTATGAGGACAGACAGCGCGCCCAATGAAGTTCCTGGGAAAACGCGCAACTGCGTGTAGTTAGAAAGTGGGCGGGGCTATATCCATATATACATATATATAGAGACAACACACAAGTCGACGACTTTTTAAAGCTCTCGGCGTCTGCACTACACAAATTGCTTGTTTAAAAAACAAGCTGAAAGAGGAATAAAAAATAAATGAATAAAAAAAAATGAAATGAAACTGCGGCAAATATTTGTTCAACATTTAAGCATCGACATTATCATCATTGTCGCAAGTTTGTTTGGCTTCGCATCAGAATTTTATGGAGCGCACAAATATGAGACAGGATCAAGAACGAGCAGCATGTGGACTAGGCAAAGGGCAAGGGAGCAGCCGAGAGGCCGAAGGGAACGGGCACTAGACGCTGCTCTGGTAAAAATAAAAATGCCACTTCCGTTTTATTTGCGCAAAATTAAATAAACCGAAATATGGGCAACCATATTGGCGCATAATAGGAAAAATATTTTGTTCATTAATGTGGCACCCCGCCCCCCCAAACGAGCCGTAGATGGAAAGCAACTGGAGAAAGGGAGCAAAAAGTTAGAGAGAGAGAGAGAGAGGGAGAGAGCAGAAAACTTGTGCACGACTTGAAGCTGCGCTGGGAGAGCTATGTAAATTAGCCTGAGCTGAAAGTGAGTAAGTAAAGGTAGCTTAGATATAACTGTGTGTGTGTGGTACTGCATGTTAATTAACTTTTAGCATAGAGAGAATGGTTCTGGTAGAGTATTCTATACACTATACAATATTTTCCTATGCTATACGCCATCTTATAATACATATGTATTATACAGTCTAGTCTAGCTGGACTAGGCTAAGATATATTATTATATTTTAGAAGATATAACACTTGTCTGTACTATACCATAATAATTTAGATTGTATATTAAGACTTTAAACTAGGTTCTATATAGTTCTTTGCTTTATTGACTAAGATATAGAATATATATGCACTATAGATATATATATATAGCACCAACAATTCCTTCAGTTTTCATATACCCAACTTATACACGCTTAACAGGGTATACCAAAAGTAAAAATAAATAAGCAGCCAACAAAAAAAACCCAAGAACAGAAGGGAAAGAGGAAAAATAGAAAAAAAAGGAAAGCCGAAAAGTAAAAGCTTTGCCACTAGCCAGTTTATTGTGTACAAACATTTTGCGACAGGACAACAGCGTGCAGGATATTTATATATATACATACGTACATATATATATAAATACATATATATAAACTTTTTTTTTTGGTGGAGTGACTGGCGGAATAATATTAAATCGAAGTTTTGTGTAAGCCGATTGAATATAACAAGCAATTCGAATCTCGTTTCAGTTCTTTTAAAGTGTTTTTTATTTAGCACAGCTAAGAGAGAGAACGGGAGTGGGAGTGGGAGAGGCAGCTCTAGACCTGAAGGTGAAATCCATCTGCTGCCTATGGGAAGCCAGCGAGCCGCACTAATCAACACAATTACGGTGCAGCCGAAGGAAAACTTTTCTAATTGGATATGAAGACGCGCACATGCGTTTCTTTAAAAGAAAAAAATTTGTTAACCTGCTCGTGGGGGGGGGTCTACCACACAATTTGGCGGCGAAAATGCCAAGCGAGCGAGTGGGGCAGAGGTAGAGAGACAGCTAGCGAGAGCGCAAGAGAGACAGCCAGGCACACCCAATCCCCTGTACGCTGAAATGCTTTGACAAATTATTTTTAAGCCAATTTACAAGTTGAGAAAAAGTATCAAGAAAACATATCACCCAGGCGAAGGTGATGGGGTGTGTGTGTGAGTGTGTGTGTGTAGGTAAAGCAAACATAATGCGAGGGATAAAAGTGTAAAGTTGACAACCCAAGCACATTACTCACCCGAGGTGCCAGCTACAACGACGACGGCATTAAAATAACCAACCAAGCGATTCAACGTCAAATGAACAAAGAGCTTGAAACAGAAACAGGCTAACCGAAGCGCCGTTGCCTGCCAGCCGCCAGCCGCCAGCCAGCCAGCCTGCCGTCTAAAATGAGCATGGCCAAGAAAAATGGCCATGCAGGAGGAGCACAAGCCACGAGCAAAGCAAAGGCAAAAGCAAACACAGAGCCAGGCAGTCAACAGCCGAGAGCCAATGCCACATGGCGTTAAGTGTATGCAGCCGTAGGTAGTCAAGAGTTCATGTCAGTCGCTGGTTCTACTCTTTCTCGGCTTTCTCCGGTTCTGGCACATGATGCCCCGTGTTGGCCAGCCAGCATTTTCTGCAAACGCTTTTCTTAAGCTCAACAAAATGACGACACTCATTGCCGGAAGCCATTAATTTTGTCACTCTCCTCGAACTGTGTTGTATTGGAGCTGCCACATGGGAGTTATCGTAGTAGTATAGTGTCGCCTTCTCTTTTTGGGCCATTGACCAGTCACCAGCACACAGTATATACACACACATATGTGTGTGTGTGTGTATGTAGTATATATTGAAAATCATGAAAAAGCAATTAAAGTTCTGCACCTGTGCCCGACCACGGCTTGACAGTCATTGTGTGTGTGAGCTAACTGACTTGGGTGAGGTCCAAGGCATAAGTTAATTGTTGGCAAAGCGCAGACCGCAATGACCGCAAGGATAACAGCAACAGCAACAGCAACAGCAGTAACGGATGGCGCCCGCTCAAAAGTTCACATGACACTTTGATGATGATGCATTGTGGCCAGCAGCAAGCAGCGTGCCGCAGCGACTGCTCTGACCGCAAAAACCGCGCACATGTTTACAGTTGCATGTGTATGTGTATGTTGTTGTCGTCTTGGCAATTGACTTAATAATTACAATGCATAATTTAATAGTTCAATATGCGGTGCTATGGCTTGTCCAGCCAGTGTAACAATAAACGTACATATATAAATAATTATAAATTTTTTTAGTTGTGTGTGTGTGGGTGTGCCGGTCATGCCACTACACCGGCCAAGTCCAGAAATGCCTATAAATGTCTCTATCTAGCTAGTTGTTCAGTCTCCGATTACGCACATTATGTTAATGCCGCTCTTGCCCAAATTGACGCCTTCGAGCATCGATTCCTGATGGCTGCGCATATAAATCAGGAACTGTATGATAACATAAAACAAATTGTTGCGATCATTGGCGCAATTGTGCAGCTCCTTTTCGCTGATGAAATTGAACTTCGGCTTCAGCTGAATGTTCGTCACGAGTATGGCGCAGTGGGCCTTGTTATTAACAGCTTTTATAATCTCTTTGGTGGAGCGTTTCTCCTCGCGTATAAGCACATAGCGTGAGTAGAAGGGACGGCCGCCACCCTGCGGCAGTGGCATCAATTGGCTGTCAAAGTAAACGCAGAACAGATGGAACACTATCTGGAAGGACATATCAAGAACAGTATTAAAGGTCATTCAAGGCATATTCCCAGAGTTCACTTACTGCTGCGTCTGTGGGCAGATGGGTGCCCCACACTTTGCCTTTGTACGAATCGCCCGAGTTCCAGCGATAGTCGCCCATGCAAGAGCCCTCCGCAAGATCTCTAATGCGCTGGACCAGATACTCTTGATTGGTGAAGGTGTCTAGAAATGGAAACAGCAGCGGTAGCATGGGCGCGCAGCTCTGCACGAATTGCTGATTCTCTGCCATCTTGCGCAAGCGTTCGAGACCCACGGCGCCAATCTTGAAGTCGCTAAGGCCACGCTGACGAAAGATTTCGTCCATGTTATCAATCTGCTTGACTAGGCGCTGCAATATGGTCGTCGAGATCCACTAAGAGCAAAGATTGCTTAGAAATGGAAAACTGATAGCATAGTAACTATTCTTACATATCTGAGATTGCTTATATACTGCGTCAGCTTAGCAGTTGAGATGTGCTTGATGACCTCCGAGTTGCTATCCTTGAATGGAACAATGCCAAAGTCTTCGATGGACGAGGGCGCATTCTCTGTGGAGGGCACTGGCGCTGGTGCCAATTGATAGATGGTACGCTTCAGCATAAAGGCAGCATTATTGCAATAGTTCCAAAACGAATTGGTTGCGCCCATGTTCTGCATCGTTGATGTATCTGCCATTTCGGCATAGCTACGCTCCCTCTCCAGCTCTGCCCTTCGCATCAATGCGGGCAGCTTTCGCACGTCAGTGGGAAAATCGTCGCGACAAACTTCCGCATAGGGCGACATGTAGACGGAGTCGTTGCTCACATTGGTGGCATTGAGCGAGCTATTTCCAACCATGGAGCGATTGTAGGAATGATTGCCCATGGAGCAATTGAGGGATTGATTGTCCATGGAGCGATTGTGGGATTGATTGCCCATGGAGCGATTGTGAGATTGATTGCCCATGGAGCGATTGTAGGACTGATGGAACTGTTGCTGTTGCTTCGTTCTTTGCTGAAGCGGGCTGCGCGTTGGACTAACACTGCGGCGAGCCGACTGCGAGTTCCAGCGGGAGTCTTCGAATGAAGAGTGCCAATTGATAATGGGTCCTGGGAGATCGTCATATTCCGGAGCACACGCACTCGGCTTTGACAGATTCTTTGCGCATGGAAAGGTATTATCTAAAAGTGCAACGTATTTATCGATGGTATGATAGTTTGCATTATTTCCTTACCATTTCCTTCGTCCAGCAGACACCGTTGCACTTCCGTTACGCACAGTGGTGTGCTGTCAATGCAGAGCCACCAAAAATATTTTCCAACACAAGCGGCGACGCTGAGGGAGATGCAAACGGCAACTGAGAATTCGACTTGATACCATAGGGTTTCGCGCATCGAGAGGCATGTTTGCCACAGATCGGCACAGATCAATGTCAACAAAACTACGTTAATAAAACCCCATTTCAAATAGTTTCTGGCCTCTACACGTTTCTGGCGATGCTCCAAGCTTTCCTGCACATTGATGCGAGACAGTTGCCGGCTTTGCTGTTTTTGGGCAACAGGGCTGCGTAAACTTGGGGAGCTGCAAATAGCGATAAATGTACATCAAACAAGTTTATCAGTTGTAATAAAACCAAAGTTTACCATTTATTGCCAGAGAAATTCATATTTTGCAAAAAATAGCCTCGCAAAATGTGTGTTTCCAAAATAAAATGCCATAAATTGGCGGCCTCAAAAAGTGTGTACACATTAAATGGTGGATACATATGTTATCGATAGACTGACGCGATAAATATTTGTATGGTAACTCTATAAAAACAGTCGGCACCGTCACAAAGCTGACTGCTACAAGGCGCCAATTTGAATTATTTAACGCATCGAAGTTAGAAAAGTAAAATATGAAAATGCGCCTTGTATTATCTGAAACAAATTGATAAATATAATAATATAAATTGAATAGCTAAACAACTTACCTTAAGCACGGCAACTAAAGTGACACGAAAGTAGTTTAAGCCCGTTAAACAATAAGCGCGACAATTTATTTCAATGGCCAACGTGATGACCTTCATAAGTTGAACATTTTCAGATGCATTGCTCGACTTGTGGATGATCTGCTCCCACTCGCAGCTGTAGTACATAAGGCTCAACCGATCCGTCTGTAAATTCAGTTTAATTATGTAAATATTTGAGATTTAAGGCGAGTAAGAAACTAACTGTTGTGTAGACAGTCGAGCCAAGCATGCCCAGAGCTAAGAGTTCGCAGAGCTTCGCTACGAACCACACGATGTAAACAATATTTGCCAATGGATTCTGCCGAGAAGAGATGGTGTGATGAAGCAAGTGTATTATAAGGATTCAATGTTTTTCAGAGAAATATACCGTATATGCCTTATATCCCATGGCACACAGCAGGGCAGCGCTGAATGCAAACAATATGAATATACGAAAACTGAATTCCAATTCCATTTGTTCGCCAAATTGATTCAGAGCAGTATTGCGTCGCAGTATATGGACGACTGCTCTTCTATATTTCGCTGAGATCTCCGCCGGGTGTGCGCTCTCCAGCAAATGTTGGGCCACTCGATGGAGATCTCGTGCCAAGAGCTTGTACCGCGCATTCAGGTGCATCATCAGCTCTCCGAGCACATTCAGCTCCCCAAAGAGCATCGAGGTTATGATAATGCCCACCCAGTAGTTGGCGCAGATCAGTGGTATGTAGAAATACAGCTTCGTGTTGTCGAACAGATAGACTTGCTTATAGAGCATTTCCCTACGGTGGTGAATGATGTTCTGCACGGGCACAATCAAGAAGTTCAGCAGGGCCATCAGATAGACCACCGAGTTGAGGCGTGTGGCCAGCATCTGCCTCTGTATGCGAGCGAAGACCACAGGCTCCGCTTCCTCCGTCACATAGATATCCGCATAGTATTTCTGCAGCAGGCGCTTGAAGGCGTCCTTTCTCACGGCCAGCTGGAAGCCGCGGATCTGCAGCTCGAGGAGCACCAGATATGTGGGCATGCCCGTCAGCATCTTGTTGATATCCTTTCTATTGGCCAGGCAATAGTGCATATCCACTTCGTTGTGCAGGCAGAATACCAGAAATCCCACAAAGATGACGAAGCGCTCGAGCAGCACCACGCGACGACTGACGCCATCCTCCAGGGGCCAGACGATGTGATTGAGCCGCCGGTACAGGGCCAGAGGCCAAGACATTGGCGCAGGCCTGCCATCTCTGAGGCGTGGCAAATACCTCATAGCTGGACTTGACTCGATAAACTGTTAGCCCCCGCAGCATAAGCCAACTATTTATACTCGAAACCCAATCAAAACTAATTGCTGTTAGATATTTCTAAATTATTCATAGTTCGTATTTAATGAGTGCCTTGAGCGAGTCATGAAAATAAATAAACAAAATTAAATTTGTGCGTTTTAATTGTGTTAAATATTGAATTTTTATATTTTCATTAATGAGCTTAAAATAAATAATTAATTATTGTGTACTATTAATTCATGTTACAAGAGGGAAGTTCTCAATGAAACATGTTCAATTCACAGCTGAATGAACGGCACGAGATGGTATGGAACGCAATGGAATTGAAACTAAAGCAGTCCCAAAACAGAGAGCTATTTTTATAGGTTGATTTCTAAAGATATTTGACAACGCGCATTGGAATCCGAGTCAAGGCAATAGCAATATGCAGTCGTTAAGACTTTGTTAGCCAAATTTTAAATAAGCTAAGATTTTGCTTTCAAAGACATGAAATCATAATAATAATAATTTATAAATTTATAGTTCTAAATTATAAAATTTATTTGAGTGTTTTAGAGCATTACATATATTTTATATTTACAAATGAAGCGAAATTTTCATTCAAATTTAGCTTTAATCACTTTATAGCTATCAATACTAAATAAATAAGCAGTGTTATTTGAGCCACCTGACTTAGTTTTGTGGATGGCAGGATATTGACATCATCAACAGGAGAGACGAGCAACCTGACAGAATATGTGTGAGCATTATGCCCATAAGGGTACTGGAAATATATTTATATATTCAGTAAATACATTAGAGTCGGGAAAGTATTGATAGTATCATCCTTGAAACAATTAAAGCCCCACACATACGTCATAAGTAAGTCCCATAATGCACAGCCCTTCAATTTCTTATTGGATTTTATCAGGTGCACGTTTTCCAATCAGATTCCAGCTAAAATCCCAATTCAAATAAAACAAGAAATTCAGGCAATTGTATATTGATGGATTTTCGTTAATTTATTCAGATAATTTGATTTAGTCATATATATATATACTCATATATATATATATTTACACATATATGTATGTATGTATATAGTAATTGCAATGCTTTTGTTTCCTGGTATGTATACGTATTTAAAAAATATGCACAATTCGATTAACTAAGTTAAGGTTTTTCCTTGTTTCTAGAAACTAGTGTCATGCTCCGAGTTTCAACTTGGTATAGGTGTGTGTGTGTGTTTGTGCTTCGATTATATACTTGGATTATAATACTGGCTTCAGCTACCAAAAAGACATAAATATATATTTATATATATCATATATACTTAGGCAAATTACAAATACTTTGGTAATGTTTCATTTTTTGATTAATCTTCTTCTTCTTCTTGTTGTTGTTGTTGTTTTTGTGGCGAGCGCTTTCATACATTTTCGGAATTCGACCCACATCCTTGGTTTTTTGTAGTTTTTCTTTTTTATTTTTTGCTAGAACATCGAGAGACTCTACTGGGGAAATAAGTTATCTTAGATTTCGTATATTTGTATACACAGATATTTGATATTCATATATGTATATGTATGTATTTAAGTGTTGCATCCATTGGTATTTTGTTGCCTATGTGTGTGCGTGGGGTGGGCGAGTTTAGTTTAGTTGTTGAGGGAGCGCTTGCCCCAGCCAGCGTGCAGCTTCTGCCATTGATCGCGCTTGCCCCACATGCCCTTCAGATTGTTCCAGGTGGGCTCGCGCTTGCCCCAGGCACCTCGAAACTTGTTCCAGCCCTGTGCCTGACGCCGCTTGCCCCAGGCAACGTTCATGTTCTTCCAGGCGCGCTTCTCCATGCCATTCTCCGAGTTGAACTCATCGCCGTCTTCAAGGGAATTCGATGGCTGTTGCTGCTGCTGCAGTTGTTGTTGCTGCTGCTGCAGTTGCTGCTCCTGATTGTTGCTGGCCCAGCGCTCGAAGGTGTTCCAGTCGATGGTGTTGGTGCCGTCGGTGATGACCAGCGGCACAAAGTGCCCCGTCATATAGATCGAATCATCCATTTCCAGGGCAGCCGGATCGCTCGACGAGCGCTTGCCCCAGGAGCTCTGCAGCGATTGCCAAGCGCGTTTGTTGTTGTAGAGATCATTGTCGCCCAGTTGCTCGACCACCTGATCAGTGAGTCCCGTGGCGGCCAGCTCGTTGTTGTTGCCACTCTGGCCACTCGCCATGGCCGCAGCCCGGCTGCTGTGCAGGAAGAGCAGCAGCAGCAATAGCCCGAAGCTCTGCGTCGCGCAACTCGAGCTGATTCCCGACTCAGCCATGTTCCTGCAAGGCAAGAGACTAAATGTGAATATGAAGTGAAAAATGTGAAAAATTGAAACATTGTGTGGGTAACAGAGGCGGGAAAAGTGCGTGGATCAATTAAGTTAAAGCGCCGTGTTGCCCTGTTTTCCCCAGGGGCACGCAGTGAGTGCCGTTTCTGTTGCTCCTCCTGCTGTTGCTGCTACTCCTGCTACTCCTGCTGCTGCTGCTATTGCTGATGTTGTTGGCAATCATTTCCGCCTACGCCTCAAATTACAGCAACAAGCGTAACGATTTAGCTAAATAACCACTCTAATTGAAAGCGGTGGGGCGGCCGAGCAGCCGGCCCGGCTGTCCAACCACTCAACTCCCGGTGGCAGGCCAAGTTCGAATGCCAAATGCCAACCGCTGCGCTAAAAGCCAACAGCGCATAACAGTTACAATTTATGGCCTATTAATGGGCTATTGCAGCTCGGCAAATGAGCCAGAGGTAGAGGTAGCTCGCGGTAGGCGGCAACAGCGAACTCCAAAGGCAGGCATTATAATGATAATACGCATTCGCCGCATTGTACCACACGGATTTTTAACGCCAGCCCAAAAAAATGCATGAGTGTGTGTGTGTGGGTGTGTATGAGTGTATCAGTGTGTGTGTGTGGGTGCTTTAAAAGCGATACTGTATAATGATAGTAAAGCTTATGGATATGTTTGCTGTTGTACTTAAGTGGCTGCGAATTGCACTTGCACTTGAGAGAGACCTTAGAGAGAGGGGGAGAGAGGCGGGAGATAAGGATGGGATGTGATGCTGCTTGGCACTGTTTGCGCTTGCTGCTTAAGAGGTTCAACTTATGCGCTGTCAGAGCTCTGAAACAAGCAATCACATGCGTATACACTGCCAGAAATGGGTGGTTCGGGTGGTTTCTGTGTGGCTTGCGATATATCGATTACAATAAAACTTGAATTAATTATAAGCCTTTGAAAGTGAATGACTATACTCGTAAGTTTTTGGTCAGACTAAAGTCTTTAGAGTGGTATTTAGGCCTTTGATATTGCTCACTCTACTAAATTTCCCTTTGCTCAGATTTTTCAGAAATCTGTTTATGCTTTGCCAACATTTCATAACTTCATTTAGTTAACAACTTAACTAATCGACTAGCAGCTGCCATAAATATATGCATATCATCCAGCGAGCTGCTTCACTGAGCTAATTACGGACATTACACACTGTAAGCCAGCCGTAATAAAACAAAAAATTCCAAAGAGTAAAGGGCTTTTCCCAGGTTCTCGAAAAGAGCGCAGCCATTACCACATACATATCAGAGGGAGTTAATATAGTCCCATCATGAGGCAGCGGGCGGAGCGGCAACTGGAGAAGGAGGCGTGACCTTATCGCTATCTAATCGAAGCGGGCGCCGATTAAACGATGCTTTCACATTGTTGCTTTACGGCAAATGTGGCTGGGATTGGAAAGTTAATTGGAGAGTCAACGGGCTGCTGCTGCAGTTGGTCGTGCTGCCCGGATCTTGGCTCTTGGCTCTTGACTGATTGTCGACGGGGTTTTGGCTTTGGTTTTATGCTGTCTTAGTTTGCATTTAATTTGTGCGCTTGTCGTTGATTGATTGACGTCCAGGATGAAAGTTTTAGCGGCTTTGCGTTAAATTATAATAGATAGCAACGTCGTTTCGATAGGGCACGCATCAAATTTTATGACCACACACACACACACACGCACACCGACTCGTTGGGGGCAAAGGGCAATCGTTCAACTGGGAGCCAGAGTCAGCACGTTCTGTAATTGAAATTAACTGAAAATATATTTATGGCCGTGTTAGGGGCTGACATGCCAGTGAATTGTGTTGGCTGAACCTCGAGCTCTTAGCCAACTCCGAGTGGCCTGTATTATTCAGCAGCTGCTGTCCAGGCATTATTCACGCTCGTGTCGCCCGGTTGACAAGCACAGGTACTTCTTCAGCATCTTCTTCGACTGATGCGACTGCTTGAGCCGGGGCACATCCTTTGCAGCGCGAGCTGCTTGAAATAAATGTGCCCAATATGCGTATGTACATATATATAGCGCATTTCGCTCGCTGTTAGTGTGCGGAGGCGTTGGTGTTTTCGAGAGGCGTGTCTCGGCTGGCGCTCTACTATTCATTGCGCCCTTACTCGAGCAGGCAACGCCAATATTTGCCAAAGGATGGCGTTCGCCTATAAGTATTTTGTTTAAATAGGTACGAAGGCTTTCGTCCCACGTTTCGACGACATTTCATTTGAATAAAAATCATCGCGCCTCGAACACGCAACAACGAAAGCTCGTGAATAAACAGAATATCCACAGAAGTGTAAATAAATTTACTAGAGAACCCAGCTACGGGGGCTTAGGAGCTTTTTTTATTTCTTACTCTTTTTTTATTTGTGGTGGTATGTCGGTTTCGGAGCCTTTTTTCTCTACTCCCCTGCCCGCACTGCAGCTGTTCGTGGCAGGCTTTCGATTTTCTGCTAATGTCTTCATTTTGACTGCCTAATATTTCAATTTTTTAATGCCCACAAATTTGCCTCTCGAGTTTATATACAGTAAACATATTTAGCTTAGGCTGCGTCATTCCACCAGCAAATATGTCAAATGAGCTCACGCTAATAACTAAGTAAATTCACTTTTAAGGAATTCACATTTGATATATTATTATAGAAATTAAATAAATAGTTGATGTTCAAGCTCTTGATAATGAATTTTAATATATTGTCGAAGTTATATTCGAACTCTTCAAATAAATTTAATATAATTTAGGCAATAGTTAAAAAACTTAAAATATGCTAGAGCTTCGAGTTATATAGATTAAATTGGCAAATAAAATTTTAAAATGTTTTAAATATATATATAAATATATTTTGTTTTTTTTTTTTTGAATACTTTTTAAAGTAGAAAAATAAAATAAAATAAGTTTTAGACATTAGGTCATACATTTATGTATGTATATATTCTAAATTATTGTGTATATATTTTTTAGTCATATCTAAATTATTTTTGTTGTTTGTATTTTGTTCTTCTTTTTTTAATAATTAAAAAGGAAAAATTTAAAGGCAGATATTAAATAAACTATTGCCCCTACTATTTTTAAGCCTCAAATACTTAATTTTCATTTTTGTTGAGAAAGTATCCATATTACTCTATTTTCTACTTAGGATTTTGTTATTATTATTATTTTCTTTAATTATTAATTTATGTTATATTTGCAGAGTAAGACAGATAACCTAAAAAATTGGCTATGGATGGACTTTCGGGATTCGCAAATATATATTATTTTTATATAAAATGAATTTTCAAATCAAATTCAATTAAAACTTTATTTTCTAGCCTAAACACTTTTCAAATGTTTTCCATGGCACCTATTACCCATATGCATTTCCCGTAATCGACTCACCTGTATGCTTGATTATTTGATTGTATTTGAAATGCCGGAAATGTTGCCTCGACTTCCGCTGTTTGTGGTCTATGCGTCGAGTGCGGTAGAGATCTGAATACGCACGCGTTCTATTACACTATAAACTTGGTTAAGCACGTGAAATGACTTTTATAACTGAATTTGTGGCAGCTGCAATTCAATTAGAACTGCTTTCGATGGACTGCCTCGTTGCTTTTCGCTTGGCACTGCGCTGCGGCTCGAATGTCTGCGCAAACCTGTTGATCAACTGTTAATGATACGCAGCTTGGCCGCGACGCCCGTTTATAAATCAAAACGGAAGCGAATCGCGACACGATTGCACCATACGAACGTGACACACGAAGTGCTCACACACACACACACACGCACACACAAGCGAGCGCACGCACACGCATAGAGTGAGAGAGACATGCACACAATAGCGAGCTTTGTGTCGCGCAGCTGGCGACTGCAGCAACGGAAGTGGCCCAAAAAGTGTTGCCTACTTAGTGGGGCAGTCAACAAAGCGTCCATGTCCCCGGCTACTGCTTTAACTTGCTTCCAGCGCACCACCTCCTACCCTTGGTGGCTCTTCCTGTCACCGCTACCGCTTGTCCTGCTCCTACTTTTAGCTCCCTCCCCCCGCCAATGGGGCCGTTTGACGAAGCGAACGCATTGCGCGCTGAAGTTGATGGCACACATGCGCGCCTTTGCAATGTTTATTTGCCATCCCCTGGGAGACGCACACGCACAGGCACATGCACACATATACATATATAGATGTGACCACGCGTAGGCTCATTCAAATTCATGTGCATGCTCCATTTGGTTAAGCTTTAGCCCGCCCCCAACCGCTGCCCATCCCCTGCTACTTAGGCTTAGCCAACGCCCATTGCTGACCTTTAATATTGAATGTACTTGTAACGCGAATCGATGGCCTGCAATTGCATTTCTTGGCCACACACCAATTGATATATAATGTGTTTTTCTTTTCCCATTTCGGGTGAATTTGCGCACAAGTAAAAACCCTTTTAGAGCTTCATGAATATTTATGACTGCCAGATGCAGAGCAGCGGAGCTGTTGCTTGTCTCTTTTCTCCTCTTTTCCACTTTTTTCCCTTGCAACATTTCAAAAACGTTTCTTCAATTACGAACGCAACCTTTGATACGGACGATTGTGTATCACTGTGTGTGGTTGTGTGTGTGTGCATGTTTGTCTCTTTTGGATATCAACAGGTTTTCATTTGTGCCATTTGATAGCCACTCTGGTTGAGGACGGCAAATAAACGATGATGGGAATATTTATGACAGTGCCACCTCTACCTGTGCGTATAATGAATGGGTTATGGAGCAGGCGGCGTCGCACGTACGGGCATATCACACCCATCGCTCAACCGATAAGGAAGGCTGGTTGTGGCCCTTACGTAGTTACTAATTGATTTTGCCACTGATAAATTGGTTCGGAATAATGCTATCATCAAATTGTAGACAGCTCTACATGTGTTTTTTCTGATTGGTCTTCGAGTGCGGCAATTGTAAATCATTTGTCACTTACATGGAAAATACTAATTGACTTTGGCCTATTTCTTGCTACCCTATAATACTCGAAATTATGTTATTAAATCGAAATCATGGCTTTAATGTTCATCTAGCTGCAGCTGCAGTCATGCCCTGCTGCACGCGTTGAAGCCCTGCTTGTTGGCCAACTGTTGACCTCTCCGCCTTCCGGCCCCCACCACACACAAACATATTTACTCTTTGAAATGGACACATTTCTAAAGGAATACCCTTGGTGCTTTCATTGTAAGATGAAGTAGCAGACGCTGTTGGCAGCTAATAATAATTTGTTTGCACTTTGCATATGCCAGCTGGCATCAAAACTCAATCACAATGTGGGCAGCCGGAACCGAACGAATGAATGAGAGTGAGAATTTAATATGGCATTGCTGCATACACTTGTGACACTTCATATAACCTAACATAATATATCATATACCTAAGCATTTTAAAAATGTGCACATTATTGAAAGTAAACTAAATGCAGCAATAACTCAATTTCAATTTCATTTCTATAGCTTCTATGCATTTGATATATTTCGATTTTCAAAAAATGCCGCTCAATGTTGTTGCCAGGCTGAAGCTGACTGCTACGCAACTCAAGTTTCTATCGATAAGCGACATACGCAAACTCTCATCTCTTGCGGACGTGCACACCGGCTGAAAAATAAATAGAACTTGTATGGGTTTTTTCTAAACCCAATAAATATTTCCGAGGTTTATTGAATAAAAACCTCAGAATGGATATAATACTGCCTGATCAATGTAATGAACAGAAATTTCTTGACTGTGCTGCGAAAATACAGTATGACGAGTTCCATGCAGTAAGTATAACAAATTAGACGGCATTTTCTTAGTCTAACTGTTGTTTTTCTTTTCTTGTGGCAGAAAATGTTTTTGTTCTTTGCGGGTTACAGCGATGTGGACGTCTATCAGCTGATACCTGATGATCGCACTCTGCAGTTAATATACGGATGGGAAGCGTGCCATATACACAGTCGTGAACGCATCACTGAGGAACTGGTCTACATTGTCCGAATACTGGCGCATCATACGTTGCAGCTGTGGTTCAGCCAGGAGTGGATTGGGTGCTCGGAGAGCCTCAAGCGCATGCTGATATACTACATAAGCAAGGGCTACACAAAGTTTAATAAGATTAAGGGACTATGCAACATCGACTGGCCTTATATACTCAACTACCAAATGAACCCATGGCGTTTGCCCTACCTGCAGCAGCTCTTCGCCAATTTAATGCAGAATAAACATAATGTGATTGAACACGCCGTGCCGCCAGCCACGCCAGAAGGTGTAAATATTTACCTTGTGTTGACTTGAATTAATCGTTTCTCTTCTTTTGGTAGATATAACATTTCTGATGCAGGAGCGTTTGCATTTGATTATTTTGCGTCTATTGAAACTCTTCGATGCTGGCAGTTGGGAAGCTGTGAAGCAGCTTTCGCTGCGTGTGCTCGCCGCCTGGCTGAAATGTTATCCAAAAATATATGGTACAAGTTTGCCCTTTGAGCAGACGTCCATAGTGCTGGTGGCGCATCTCTATCTGCTAACGGTTTTTGTTGCAGACGACAATCGTGGATATAACATTGATAATATGGTAGATATACGGAGTAAAATTCAGTGCACTGACTTTAATATATAACTCGCTTTGGCAGATGTACAACATACGCTTCTATGCGCAGAGCATGCAGGAGGCATCGAATACGGAGGCCATGGGCTACACACCCGCTAGACTGATTGCACAGATTTGTGTGCGCTTGGGCCTAGGCAAGGATGGTTTCTTCGAATACATTGTGTTCAAGAGGTTCCATTTGAACCCCGTCACCTCATTCGCTGTCATGCTGGAGGCCTACACAAGCTACGTGCTAGGCAATCAGCTGCTAGAGCTGATGGCTCTCAATGAGCACGACTTTATGGCGCACCTGGCAAAGTTCAAGGTGCTGATGCATTGCTATGTGGAGGAGCGTGAGAACAGCGAACGTTTCTTACTCAATGAACTGCAAAAGCTAGAGTGCCAGCGCAACAGCCACGCGCTACCGCACACGGTGAATCTGAATCTCAACTATCAGCAGCAGATTTGCAAGGGCAATCGTGCGAGCAATATTGGCAACTACAAGAACTACGACGACGACGAGAAACCACTGCAGGATGTGGACGAGGAGCTAGACAGACAAATAGATCCGGTCTTTCAGAACGTGCCAAATAATGAGAAGGTGTTGGACTTTGTGTACAAATTGCTGGCACAGCGTGTAAGTTATCCTAATCCTATATATATAAATTATATATTAATAATTCTTTGCTTTCACAGAAATTCAGAGGCTGGCAGTTTGCCAAGATAGCGATCCTCTTAAAGATAATTGGCCAGAAGCTGAATACAATTGAAGTTTGGCGCTATCATCCGGGCTTGACCACGCAATTCATGCTTAACCTGGAGCACAATCTCTCTGATAACTATGCCGACTTGGCCAAGGTGTTTTCGGAGCACGCCTTCATGGAGGCTGAGTTCTGGCTAACTGCTTTCTATTTACATCCAACACGCAGCAGCTACTATGAAGTCAAACGTTGCTCGCGCATTAAAAAGAAGCGAAAGGATGACGAGGAAGTTGTCTCTAGCAGAGCTGCGGCACGTCCTGACAAACTGGAGCAGCATATCAAATATGAGCTGTTGAGTTCTACGATTGATGTTGATGAAATTGTTGCCATTACGAATCATAATTCGCCCGTAGCCGACTATGATCCAATTTCCAAGGCGCTGCAAACACTGCGGCTGCCGCGCAGCATACTCAAAGACTTGCTCACGGTGGCCTTTCAGCCACGCAACAAACGCTACTCCTGGGCTTTGGAATGGAATACTTTGCACGAGCGCTGCAGCGCCCTGTTGAAGAGCACGGACCTAAAGCAAAAGTTTGTGGCTTTAAATATGGCGGAGGCCAATGATGATCTGAAATATTTGAAGATCGATTATGAAAAGTATAAAAATCGGCCGCAATTGGACTATGGCACCATCGAAGAGGGCTACGAGAACGCTGTGAACGCAGCTGAGGGGGATGCTGAACTGAGCGCCGATGAGGACGAAGAGGCGCAAAAGCCACCGCGTGAGAAGAATGACCGGGACAGGAAGCGCCACCGAATACCGGTTAAGTTCTGGAAGGAAGGTAATTAAGACAAATAAGCATACTCTCATTTCCAGTTATATTAACTCAATGTTATGCTCAATAGTGTCCGAGGATGAAGATGAGGAGGAACAGGAATCTGACGAATCCGAGGCCTACTACACAGGCTCTGGAAGGCGCACTCGTTTTCGAGCAGCTGCGCTCGTGGCCAATACGATGATCAGCGACATGGATAGAGCCATGCGCAGTGGACGTCGTTCTCCGGCTGCCGAGCCACCAGCAGAGCCGAAGACACAGGAGACCGAGCAATCTCCGGTCGAAGCAGAGACATCGAAGCCACCGCCGCCAGAGAAATCAAACGTGCCGAAGCGTTCAATTGGTGAGCTGCTGCAATCGCAGGCGAAGTACACGAACGAAACTAGCGGCTTTAAAGCGTTTTCCGACATTTGGAGCTTCGAGAAGGTCGAAGAGCTCAACGTGGAAGTGGATGATAATGTGCTCATGGAGAGTAATTCTCTGCTGAGTAAATTTAAAAGTTTGCAGGGCTTAAGACGAAACGCACCGGCGACGACGACTCAGCTAGACACGAGCACGGAGACGGCGTACTCACGCACCAGCAGCCGTTACAACAGTGAGACGGACAGCTTGGAGTCTGGAGCATCGATGATGGCCATGCACGATGCGAACGAGTTCGAGGAGGGACAATCTGAAGCTGTAACTGGCGTAAGTAAAGTGTTCACGCCCCCTCCGGAGCCAACTTCAGATTTTACAATGGAGACAGAAGTGTTGCAGCTCAGAGGAAAGTCTTTGACCGGAGATGAGGAGGCCGCCAAAGCAATGCCGGGTGCCTTGGCGACGGAGGAGCGGACGGTAACGGAAGCTGAGACGGAACCGGCGAATCAACCAGCCATAGAGAAACAACCAAGCAATGAAAATGTCAAGCGATTCAAAGCAAATGATAGTTCAAGTCAGGAGCCAAGCTCATCCGTGAGTTTAGCTAGCGATGTGGATGCGCGACTGATTCAGGAGTGCTTGAGCCGTCAGTTGGAGGTGCGTCTGCACATGCTCTCACTACAGGACATTGAGCAGCTGCGTGGACTGAGGGTGCGCGTAAAGCGCACGAATCTCCACCACTATTACCGGGAATTGAAAACACAACAGGAACACAGCAGATCCTCGTCGACAAGCAAGCAGAGCCACACTGACGGCAGCAATGCCTCCACGCCCACTTCGGAGGTGCAGAGCGAGTGCGGCAGCAGAAGCAAAGTCAAGAAGGAGTTTGTGCATATAACATCCGATACGGCCGACCCAAAGGCAGAGCCTAGACTTACGGTGCAATTGAAACGCTTTAAGCACATCACTTCCGATTCGTCCACAGAACCGGATGAACCGGCGCGTCCAGCCTCGTTGCGACGACGACGACGGGGTAACAGATGGAGCCAGACGAAAATCAAAGTGAATCCGGCAAAGTTAGCGAAGGTGAAGCACGTGACGGGCGATACGGATGTCATCGAACTCTCCTCGGAGTCGACGTCATCATCGCAGTCGCCTGTGCCCGTGACCGTGAGCCGATTCCCAGCTATGGTGGTGCCCTCGGAATTGGATCCACTCTATGAGGAGGAAATCGTACCTTTCTGAAGATGGAAGGCATTTGCTAAGCTGATGCTGGTTTCTCTCGCTCTCCCTCGCTCTCGCTCTCCCCGCTCACACGCATGGCCCGGAGCTACGTGACTGGAGCGAATGCAGTCGGGGTTGCACGCCACGCACACATACACACACACACACAGGCAAGGCAGGGACAAGGATTGGGCACACACAGGCAGCTTGTTAAATTGAATTTGCGTCGCTTGTTAGAATGCAATTTGCCCGAGGCACACATATATGTATATTTGTCGATGCGAGTGTATTTTCTTTGGCTCGGACGGTGTTAGGATGTTTGATGAAATTATATATGTACAGAAGCCAGCTCATGGACCGGCACAAAGCGGGCATGGCTTTTATTTAGTTAACACTGCCTTGAGGCTATGCCTGCTTGCGTGTGTGTGTGTGTGTGTGCGTGTGCGTGAGTCTTGGGCGACAATTGCTGAGAAATTGAATGCGCCAGCTTCCATAATAATTCACATACTTTCATGCTAACCTAATAAGCGCTCACACTTCAATTAACTGTATAATTGATACGCATTATGCCTACTCACAAAACCTTCAATTAGCCACACGCGTCCGATCGACGGCTGCCACTTGAGCCACCAACAACCAGCGCTGACAACAACAACATTGCATACACACACGCACACACACCGACACGTGGCGCATGGTGTGAATTTCGATGGCAACATTTGAATTGCTGTAAGCCACAGTCGACAAGCGGCGATTGCTTGGCTTATAATCTTTGCTTTGACAAGAATATCCTGTGGCTTATCTCATAGGTGTTCGAAACAGAAATAACTAAACTGCTTAACTCAATTGGCTGCGTTTCTCCGGATATCTTGAGACTTGTACAAAAAAATGTGACCAAAAATGTAAATAAAGAAACAAGTATTAATAATGCAATTTGAAAATGTTTTTATGTATTTATATTTATTATTATGTTTTAATGGGTCGTAGATTGAAGACGAAGTACAAACTTCCTTCAAATTTAGAATTAATTTTCCTCAAGAAAGCATTATTAGCTAGAGAATTGAAATTTAGAGCATTTACTTATTTATATCTATATAATATCTATAATAATATGAAATGCGTTGACCACTCAAACTCCAATTGGAGACTTGGAAAATCGAATACAACTGTGTCTTGTACAGTTCTATATCTAGAAACTTTCGCTGTTAAATTGGGCAGTGGGAGACAGTGACAGGGATCTGGCATACTATGGGCTGCGAATGGGTATGCTACAGCCGGTAAAGGCCCGACTCAAACGCTTTCATTTGTCAGTTATATGTTTAAAATATTTGCATACAATTATTCCCCTTTTTTTGTCCTTAAAATTATTTTGAGGACTTTTCATTAAGTATATATGCCAGATATAAGCTATATTCTAACTACAACAAATCCACATCTATATCCAGCTTAAAAGAGAAAAGTTCCCACAGTTCACTTAACGCAGTTACTCGGCAGCTACTTCTAAGAGCTCTTCAATTGCCATAAATCTTGGCAACTGTCATCAATTTGGAACAATTAGCGTGCTTCAGGCCTCTCAATTAACGGTAAGCAGTGTCGCTGGCGACTCACTTTAAAAAAATGTTGGCTCGTGTCAACAATTTAGACCGGAATGGGCGGACGTATCATAACAAACCTGCACGTGCTCATTGTGGGCGGGGGCATGTGTGGCAGCCACTTAAAGTGGCAATCCCATGCAGCCTTGGGGCGGCGGCTCAGGCAGCCACTCGAGCAGCTGTGAAGTGGCTGGTGCCACAAAGCTCTGGTCCAATTCTGTGGCACGTGCCAGCCAGCCAGCGCAGCTTCACACATGTTGCGCCCACGGAAGTGTTGCGGCCACGTGCCGGTAATTCGCTTAGCGACAGGCGTAAGCCCGCAATGATTATTGCGGTTGCAAAAAAATAATAAATAAATAATGGAAAAGAGTTGCGCGCAATTGATATGAAGTGGCCACAAGATGTGTTGTGACAACGGCTGCTGATAAGCGGCACAGAGCATGCCGCTTTGAACTTTATGCGCTGATCCTCGCTGCCAGACAGAGCAGAGCAGAGCCAAAGAGAGCTGGGAGACAGATAATTCACTCTCATAGCTGCCATTGGCTTACGTTGAGGCGTAAAAAATGCTCGCATTTTAACTGGTAGTGGTTGCTGCTGCTGTCAGTGTGCCTCTGTGTGCGTGTGTGTATGTGCGTGTGTGTGTTTGTGTGTACAACCCCCTTTAGGCTAGAGAGCGAGTGGCAATCACTGCCGCGCATATCTGTTGGGATTTGTGCCATGGCGCCGCCATCGTCGCGACCGACGACAATGCGTCGAGGGTTGTTACCCGCCTAAATCAGCGGGCTTACCAGCCAGCTCGACCAGCACATAAAACCGTTGCGCACTCCTGTTCAGCTTTTAGTTGGTGCGGGCACGCGAAACGGTTAAGGCAACACACAAGAGCACAAATATCAGTGATATACGAGAACAAGCTAATATATATATATATATATCAGAGTAAAATGCGCCTAGTTGAGATCGTGCTTTAGATAGAGCTGCATCTATAACTATATATATAAGGAAAGCTACTGCGATCTCAACATGTCCGCCTGCTACAATGCCTACAATCCGGCGCATTCGTTTCAGTTTGAGGAGGCCGACGATGACGATGCTTCCTTTGACAGCGGCTACGAGAAGAGCTTTGAAACGGAGGCCCAGACCAGCTCACGTCGCCGTTTGGACTTTGGCGAACACTGCGGCAGCACAACGCCGGCCCAGGCGCCAGCGCCGTTGGCCTATGCCGGCAACTGGGAGATGCAAATGAATTCGCCACCTGCCGGCTTCGTCGGGCTGCTGGACTCGAGCAGCAATCACAGCACGCGCAGCGGTCGCACGCTGGTGGAGCACCTGAACAGTCGCGCCGCAACGGCCACATTCGAGCCGCTGGTGACCAGCACGCCGGTCAAGTCGCCGGAGGATCCGAATGCGCCGCGACCGAAGCGGAAATATGCCGTCGGCAAGAATCGCGTGACGCGTTCGCGCAGTCCGCTGCAGGTGGTGCGCATCAAGAAGTTCCGGCGGATGAAGGCCAACGATCGGGAGCGCAATCGGATGCACACGCTGAACGATGCGCTGGAGAAGCTGAGGGTCACCCTGCCCTCGCTGCCGGAGGAGACCAAATTGACGAAGATCGAAATTCTACGCTTTGCCCACAACTACATCTTTGCGCTGGAACAGGTGCTGGAGAGCGGCAACACCATCAATCTGGATCTGGAGAAATTGCAGAACTTTACGCTGAGCGGCGAGCGCATCACCAAGGAGCTCTTCGATGCGCTCTTCGTGAACCCGCAGCCGTATCCCATGTTTGGCAACGGGCGCATCTTTCCCTACGGACCGCATCAGCAGCAGACGCCGCCGATGCACTATACGGCTGGCCAGGCCATGGACTATCAGCCACCTGGCTTTGATCTGGGCAGCAGCATGCGCTACTATCAACAGCAACAACAACAGCAGCAACAGCAGCAGCAGCAGATGGTGGCGCAGTCGGAGCTTAGTCCTCAGCCCACAACTTCGGCTGCGTCTCACTTTTCCCAGGAGAAATATGATCTGTTTCGCAGCAGCTTTGAGGCAGCCGCCATGAACGACTCGGGCCTGCATCAGCAGAGCAGCTTCTACACACAAACGCCGCCCTGGAAGGACTACCAAGAGGATTATCACCAGCAGCAGCAGCAGCAGCAATTGCTTTATAAACAGTTTCAGGTATAGCATAGTTTCGGGGGCATCAGTGCGGGTGTCTATCTTCTCTGGGTGATATGTTCGACAGTGTGCTGAACCCTAAGCGGCACCGACAGCTGGAAAGGATTCACGCAAGCGCTGCACTAGCGACTCACCTTTGACCTATGGCTATATATATGCATATATATATATAGATAGATAAAAGTGTTTTGCTTAGAGCAGCCGAGTCAGTATTACTTTTCCAGCTCTCAGTCCCGCTGCGGCTCGCAATCAGTTGATATTTTGCATTAAGTATTAAATTGATAGCCAAGGCCGTGCTAAGCCAGGCGGCCTTAGTTATCAATTTGATTTGATTCACTTGGTGAGCCAAACAAAGCTTCAATTGGAATTCCAGATCTGATTGGGCTTTTGTTTTGCTCACTGAACTGAACTATTGAAGCTAAAAGTGTTTTCTATATCAACTAATTCACACTCAAATATAAAGCAATTTCATTTATATTTGATTGAAATGAATGCAAATATAAGAAACACTTTTTGCTCTAAAGATCGAATACAAAACGCATCGGTTGTCCATGTAAATTTAGTCAGAGCATCCATGTACCTTTGCTAGCAAGCCATATACTTATACATTAAGATCAGACGACTATATTTAGGATGAAGCATTAGCTAGATTTAGTTAGTTGGTTGGGTTAACAATGCAATTGCTAAGGAGAAACGCGAGCTAGTCATTTTTGCAAATCAGGTTTTATATATCTAAATATATATATAACTATATTTCGATTATAACTTAAGCTGAATTTGATGTAAACTATTACAATTTATTTTTGCTAATAAAGTTGAAGAAAAACCGAAACAAAACAAAACTACTGCAAAAAGCGATGCTTAGGTAAGCAGCAAATGGAAGTGGAGAAGAAAATTGCTAAAGTCAAGCCAAACAACCCTGAGTATGTGCATGTGTGTATGTTTGTATGTGTGTGTGTGTGCGGATTTCAGATTTTCAAACAAAAGACTTAAATTCAAATAAATATTGTATATTGCAGTGCACATAAAATGAATGCGTGTGTGTGCCTGTGTGCGTGTGTGTGTGTGTGTGAGTGCAGCTTGTTTATTGTAGGGGGCATTTTTGCGCCCTTACAATTCGACATGGGGTGAGTCGAACAATGGAAGATTGCCCGTCACCTGCCACAGAATTACGACTACAAAACGAATGTACCAATGCCTAAAATATACAACAGCAGCAGCAAAAGCAACAACAACAATAGCAGCAGCAGCAGCAGCAGCAACAGCAACAGCAGCCGAGAGTCCTGAAACATGAGCCAAGTGGCAGTGGACCTGCATGAATGCCACTCAAATTATTTAGTTGAATGAACCGGCAAGAGTCGAAATACTGAGTCGACTGACTGACTGACTGACTGACATTTTCCGTTACAGGAAAATAGAAAGGGTGACTCGTCGAAGATGCTGAGCTATATATTGTTGGAATGCAACATCTCCAAGAGAGTAGAGTGGAGTGGAGTAGAGTAGAGTAAAGTAGAGTCGCTAAGCTGCGCTTGTCATTTGTGCAGCTTTGTTGAAGGTGTCGGGATTTATCTTAACAATAATCATTATTCTAGCCAGTATATTTGTCGTTGTCAAAGGCGCAAATACGCAGCGGGCGAGCCGCTAAGCTGCATTCAATGCCAGCAGAGCTGGCGCTGAGGGTGATGCGCACAAAGGACAACTGTTGGACGGGGATACGGACGGACGGACGAAGCGCACAGAGGACGGGCATCATTAGCGTGCTGTCCCGCTAGCTGTGTCACGGGGTAGCAGCTCACTGCAGATGCTTATCGTCGGATCAATAACGGCATTACGCATACAACTACCAGTCCCCGCTCTCTATATACAATATATATATATATATATGTGACTATGCTAATACTGTGCGAGGCTTTGGTTAAACAATTTGCCGATTGCCGTAAGACGATAAGAAAACCAAAATGGAAACAAATTGCCAAAGCACGGTGCAAGGAGCAAACACAATGCTGACTGCGTCAAGTGCAGGTCCTTTGGGTCCGATTTATATGTGAGCCAATGGGCAATAGATTTCATTTCTTTACGCTTGGATATTGAAAAAAATGTAAGCAATTGTTTGACTTACTTGCAATGAATGTATATTCAGTGGAGGGTAGAAAAATAATCTCTTGAAGAAATCTCTCTTAAAAAAATACAAATAGAAATTATATATGTACCTTATTATACAGCTTTGATCACATAAAAGAAGTCTCTTCCTATACCGTTTCAATATATTAATATGATGTCCTTTAGCAGCTGCTTTGATCTTTAAGCAATGTTTTATTCCTAACATGTTGAATATGGGACTTTTCCACAAAAACCCCTTTAATTCTATCATCTAGTTGTACAATTTACCCTTTTAAAAACCTTACAAGCCCATAAAAGTATTCGACATTTGTGAACATAAATTAAGAGCATTTGATGCCGTCTAATTCTTGCTCAAGCATAAACGTGCCAATTTGTCTATTTGGTTCCAGATTCCGATATCAAAATTGGCAAAAATCGCAAATCGAATTTTATTTGGCGAATTGATTGTTTTACGCCTTTTTAGCATTCACACACATTCACCAGCCAGCTAGCATAAAAAATTTATATATGTATATATAAGAGTAGAAATCAGAAATTTAACCCTTCTGCAGCACATGTGCATTAACGTAACCCCTTCTGGAAATCCCTCTTTCTCTTGTTTTTTTTTTTTTTTTTTGGCAAACAGAATTCGCTTTGGTGGGTCGAGTTGAGCCGAGGCGAGTCGCTCGACCTTTTTAGCGATTCATTGCCCTGCTCGAATTGGTTTATCTGTGAAATCTGTGACGCTGCATGTATATGTAGGTCCTTTTAGTCCTGCCCTACCTTGAGTTGTGTGCTCATCTAACCGAAAAACATTGGATAAACAAACAGCCGCTCGAGTATTTTGTTACATTTGTTGCCGCGCCGAGGAAGCCAATCTGTCGCATTTGTGTGCATGCTCGTCCTTGCAGGATAATCATTAGACACACACACATTCTCTCTGTGTGTGTGTGAGTATAAACTGTAAACTGTGCTCGCAAGTTTTGATTGCGATTTTAATCCGATCTGAGCGGTTTTAGTCAAATTTAAGCAGATTTGTGTCACATTGTTGCAACAGAAAGTGGAACGCACAAAATGTAAACACATGTAAATCAAAAATCATATTCGATACACACGATTCGAATTGAGATAACAGCGGCCGAATAACTATTTGAATAGCTTGAGTTCTTCTGATGAGAGAGCTGAGCGTAGCTCTTGAGCAGATGAGCTGCCTAAGTGAAGCTGCTGTGGTAGTAGTCGTAGGGTAATGAAGGTACTATGAGAGGGGAATGCTATTGGCTGAACTGATAGTTGATTATAGTCGAAGAAATACTCGTTGTGAAAGCATACTCTGAGTATGCAAATGTCTGTCTATACTGAAAGACTATAGAGACTCAAAGACTTGGAGCATCTTCTTGGATTCCCGTCGGGAATCATTCTTGGTATGACCTCTCGGATGGTTGACTGGGTTCATCCACTCAGTGTTGACTTAGATTTTTGTCTTGGATCGTCAAATCAGGCAGCTAGAATTCCCAAGACTTGCAGGTGGATCACTGCTGTTCCCCTCTTTATTTGTAATTATATCAATATCAGGATACATGATATATGTGTTATGTTTGAACATAGTTAAGGCATGCCTTTTGCAGCATATTTACAAAAGATTGTTTTTCTATTATTTCCCCTCTATAAAAGTTCATAAATAATTTGCTTTTTACCTGAGATTTTGTAGGTCAACGAAATGGAAATGGTTTTAGCTATTAGGCGTTTGGCAGGCGCCGGAAATGTCAGTCGTTATTTGCAACCCCAACGGGGAGAGAGAGAGAGTGTGAGGTCGCTGCAGACATAGTTATATTTCATATTCCAATCACATAACGAATATTTCCTTTTCCTTTTCCAAATGAATAAACTGTTAGACAAACAATACATTAAACTTTACAACTTCACACCCGCTGGCTCTGTGTATGAAAACCATTAGAGAGCCCTACCCCGGCAGCAGGAGCAGGAGCACGAGCAGGAGCAGCAGCAGGAGCAGGAGCACGAGCAGGAGAGTCTGGCATTGTACATATATATAGCCAGTAGCTGAGGCTGTACCACAAACTACGAGTTGATTGTTATGCAAATGAGCTGAGTAGCTCAGGACGAAACCAGGACGAAATACGGAATGGAGAGTGCAACCCTAAATAAAAAGTGCTTGGGTTAGCTTTGGCTGCAGTTCATCAAGTGGTCATAAATATATTGAGCCAAAGGAAGAGCGCCAGCCTAATTAATATGCAGCGCCATGTGCATAATGAATGTGACATTTGTAATTTATGGTTGATATTTGTTAACATTCCGACTCTACTGCTGTTCCACTCTTTTTTTTTTTTTTTTGGTTTTGCAGTGCATAAATTGAATTTGTAGGCTGGTGCTAAAAGGTCGTCACAACAACGGTTTCATGCCCAGTTATTGCGAGTGTAAACAACCTTTGATCGAGTGCAAGGGCCGAGCTGACAATATTTGCTATTCGCTATTGATTCGCATACACATTTCGCTTTTGTGCCTTTTAAGCCGCAGCAGCCTGGACTTCCGTTGCATCTATAAGACCTACTTCCGGTTTAGCGCAAAACTGCGCGAAAATCCCCTGATTAAGCCTTCATTGTGCTGCTGTAAAAAATGAGCGAAAAACTGCCAATTTTACCCCCAAAAAAATTGAAATTGATCGAACGGGGAGAGCCGACAAGTAGTTAGCTGCAATTACAATTGCGTGAATTTGGTCGACGCGGGGTGTTGCCCTAAGTCGCTTTTTATGGCACCTCGAGCGGGCCAACTCGGCGTTGGCAGTTGACAGAAAGCGACCGTTATGATTTAGTTAGATATATGGCATTGGCACGCAAGGACTTAATACCCTGCAGGGAACTGAGCTGGAGAAGGTATATGGTTAGTGTGGATGAATAGAATAAACAGGAAATGGGAAATAGCTAAATTGCTTTACTAAAAGTAACTTTGGCATATAATTTAATATAAGTTATATATTTATGATATAATAGTTATATATTTATGATATATGTATATATATAATTTATTTACTTATGATATATAACAATTTATAATGATAGTAAATATATGATATAGATATGATATATAGCTATGATATATGTATATATGAATTTTAAATTCCAACAATGTTTTTTTTTTTAGGAATAAAGACATAATACAACTGATATGGATTATAACTATGTATAGCTATATATGTAAAAGCATATAAAAATATATGTTAAATGCTATTTTCAATGCTACTTAAATTACAATCAATATTAAAATATTATTAAAATTTAATTTTCAATTTTTCATTTAAATTAAATCTCATTAGCTATCTCTTTAGTTAGCCCTTCCCATATATGTATCTCTCACATATCTAATACACGTTCAGCAAATATACAGGGCATTTGTTGGTCATTCACATGTGCCAACTAGGCGCTGCCTATTCATTCATTATCCTCACATAAATTGTTTGTGCCGCAAATGTTAAGGAAATGAGCGACTTCCCTCAAGCGCGAACGTCCTTCGTACCACGGCTCACTCATTAATTGTTCGCATTGTTTGTCCGCTGAAGTTGGACATCTGGCCAGCTGCCCTTCCCACTCGCTGACAGACAGACTGACTAGCTGAATCTAGGGTAAAAGCTGATGTGAGCTGTAACTACATTT